AATTATATTAATATATTGTATGTAATATGTATAATATTATATATATTACATTATATATATTATATGTATATACATTATATACATATATTATATATATGTATATTGTTATGTGATGTTAGTTTCAATTTCTTTTCATATATTCAAGATGAGGTAAAAATTAACAAACAAAACTTAGCCNTTATTAAAAGTAAATAAAATAAATTTTAAATTCAATGTTTTCAATTAGATTTTATTGAATGTAATAAATTTTAAAATACTCTTTATAATTTATTTTAAAAAATTTTAATGCGTTAATGCGAGTTTAAAAACTGCATAAAAATTGTTTGTTTGCTGTGTTTACGTTTTAACTTCCTTATCTATTAAATAAAACATCTTAAAGTAATTTTAAAAATAATAATTTCTGTCCTTTAAAATTAAATTTTCTTTTTAGTTTTTTTAAATAAAAGAAATAATTTTTGTTAACCATTTACATAAAGTAAAATTATGAGAGAGAAACCGCATTTTATTTTGTAATTATAATAAAAAAGAAAAAACATAAAAAAGTAAAAAAAAACAAAATAAAAAGTAAGAGCTGAATATAAGAAAATTAAAAAAATTTAACCTAGAAAATAAATCTTTAACATTATCACGGCGAATTTATATCTTTAAAGCATGTGTTTAAAATAATTTTGTAAGATTGTTTTAAATTTTTAAATAGTTCCTAATATAAAAATCTATAATTTATAATTTTAAAATAATAAAATTTAAAACATCATTTAGAATCTTCATAAACGTTTGTTCTGAAAATCAATTTCTAACTAAATATATGAAGCTGCAAAAGTTGAAATAAAATTGATTTTCTTTAAATTTTGTTTGAAGTTTTTGAAATATACTTTACTAAAACTATCTTTATAATCAAATTAAACGATGTATTTTTAATTATCAATTACAAAGAATGCATTTAATCTGTTGAAGAATTTCAGCTTTTTGAGGTCGAACAATTGTTAATGTTTTCCAAACAACTGTTACTCTTGTAAAGAATAAGGATCATCTAATTAATTTACATAAGGCTAGTGGGTAAATACATCAATCAAGAGTCGCAGGGGAGAGTATAAAAGAATCTGTAAGAGGAACACTTCTGTAATCAGTGAGAAGTTCACCTGAATGCAGACAGATTTTCAAAGGGATAGTTTTGAAGATATAAAGAAGATACCAAATAGAATTTTAAAGTTCTAATGACAACGTTAATGATTTCTAACTTAATTACGATATTTTTAGACATATCTTCGTATCTTTTATTTTTCTACTTAATAATAATGAAAGTTAAATATAGATGATATAAATCGATATCTATCTCATAAAGAAAAATTGATTTTATGATCATGTTTAATATTGAGCAGTTATTATTATTATATTGTTTTTTATCGTTAATTTTGATTAGTTATTTAATATATAAGAGAGCTCTCATATGTTTAAAGAATTTTATTTATTTTTATAAAGTGTAGAAATATATTTTTACCTTATGTTTTTTTTTTTTTTTCATTTTCTGTAGTTCGTTAATTCTTAAAATTTTTATCACGTTTTACATAGCAAAATTTGCATTTCAAAATTTATTTTAAAAAGTTTTTATGGTTCTCTTCGAGACTTTTGCAAGCTATTATATACTTGATCACATTAATCACGCCTTTAAATTATATGACTCGATTTTAAGCGATTTTTTTTTTAATTTGAATTTTTTTCTTTAAAATGATAGAAAGTAACAGTGAAATCNTCAACCAGAGACACGTGTACACAGGTGCTGAACTGTGATACTACCGCTGCGGTGGCGGTAAAACGAAACGGTACTTACTTTCCGGACACGCCTCGTACAAATATAAAATACCAGATTTTGCTGGAAATGATATCATTGAAATATAGAATTAAGCAAAAGATATATGTAACAATAAACCAAATGTAAATGAAGTATGATGTTTTTCTGCTTTATACTGAAACAAAAACATAAATTATGCATTATGTTATTTTAAAACTAGATGATAATTTTTATAATTATAAAATAACTTTTATTTCTTTAATAATCTATTAAATAGGAAAGTTAAAATATTATGAAATAGCTAATTTAATGAATTATTGTGAAATTGTTAAGAATTATTTTAATAAAGTAGCTAAGAGATTTTCCCATTCTAATTACAGTATCTTCTTGTGTATATAATCTGTGGATTATGTGATGGGGCAAGTTGCTGGTATATGGATTTTAAATACAGTCATGAACTCTTGCAATGGCTATTTCCAAAAGTGTAGGTTACATAGAGGGACAAGTTATACTAAGGTTTTTATTTTAGTTACTGTAAATTTCTGTAGGGTGTACATATAATCCTCTGGTGTAGGTTATTTGCACAAAAATGTGCTAACAAGTAAGTTAATTGTTTACCACTGTTTAGGGGCACATTATTACTATTATTCTTTAATATAATTATTTGTTATTCTAGTGTTCTTATTAGTATTTTTTACATTAAATAAAGAAAGTAATTTTGAGAAATTTATAATCTTGATATTTAAAATAAGTAGATAAGATGCCAGAACCTTAGCCAATTAGAATGGTAAAAAAAATGACAATTATAAATTACCATTAAAATTTATCTTCTTATTGAAAAATATTAGGATTCCATTATACCTAGAAAACACTGTATTGCTTAATTGTTTTCACTATGGTAAGAATGACGTATGTAATGAATGATGCTATTGTCAGCACCTATTTTGCTGGGACAAGAGTTGCTACAAACACTATGCAAGCTATAAGTATCAATATCACAAACATCCTGATGCTAAAAAATAAAAAATAAAACTGCAAGTGAAATATGTTTATTTATTTATTCATGCAAATTACAATTTTTATTGTTACTTTTTAAATATTATTATTATTATTTTGGTGAAAGTATGAATCAACAAGTAAACAAGAAGAAAAATGAAGGATGCATATTATATTTTTCTATCCATTTTTGTCCTGAAAGCATTTTCATTTTTATTCAGGTAATGTTGGGACTCTAGTTTAGTTTTGGCTAAAGATTTTTATTTGTTCATTTGATAGTGTGAAAAATTTCATACAACTTATTATCATCATTTCATACAACTGTATTATCATCATTGCAATTATCAAGTAATGAATCTTGGATTTTTATATCTTATAGTTACACCAGAATTGAATAGTATTTGAATGTTTTTCTAGTTCTTTAAGTATAATTTTCTGTAAAATTTAATAATATAAGTTGAATTAGAAGTTAAAATAATAGGCATTTATTGGTGTCGAGAGAAAATTGTCAATTGTTCACCTGAAAAATTAGGTACAGAAATTTGAATTGTGACAAAATAAGTTGCAGTTTAGTCATCATCTGGAAGTAATTATAATAATAATATTGTTTACTACTTATTACTCTTGAACCATTGTTATAAAATACAATTTATAGTATTGGTTCAATTGAAAATGTTTCAAAGCATAAGAATTAATTTTAAATTGTTTTAATTTCTCTCTGAACTTTAACACTCATTTATTGTATGTTATTTAAATTTTAGGTAATGTTCATGACAAAAGCACCTTTATTCAAATAAAAACACCAATTTTAAAAGAGAGTTCTGCAGAAGTCAAAGACTCTAACGTCTGTTTTACAAATGTCAATATGGATCGACTAGACAGGCCTCTAGAATTTAAAACGACGGAATCTAACGTTACAAACAAGGTAATCCCGTCCAACGAAGACACAAATTTGCAGTCCACGGACAGAACAGAGTCTCTTCCTCATTCAGAGGACGGTGCCCGCCCATCCAGAAGTAAACGTAATCTGCTGGGCTTAGATTATAGTTCTTCGGATTCCGAAACATAAATTTTATTTTAGAACAAGGTGTCTTGTGTAATGCTGGATAATGAATATGTTAAATAGAGTAAGGAAAGTAAAATATCATAATAATTGGATTGCTCTTTTAAATGTTTTTATTAAATTAGCAATTGGTTAAATAAGGTACTGTACTTAGAAAATGGTAAGCATAACACTTGATATTGATTAAAACCTCACAAAAATAAACAGACCATACTGACAAAAAGCAATTGATTATAACAGTTATTGTTAAAAAATTTTTTTGACAAAATAATTTTTAAAATTTAATTGTCAAAAGTTTTATTTTCTTCATTAAATTTAACAAGTTTTATAATGCCATACATCAAATAATCATGCAAGATTAAAAAAGTACAGTGATAAATAACATTATTTTGGAAGATATATTCATTAATATTAACTCTTTTCCCAAACCTTCTTCCTTGTGCGGCAATAATCCGCAAGGATAATTTTTTTTTTTTAATACAAAAGACAAACTAAATGCGCTGCATAAAAATCTGGGAAAACGAACAACAGACGATACACAAAAGATATAGCTCACAGAATAGACACCTTTCAGATACCATCCATTAATTCCTGGTGTTATGGTTAATGTAAGGATTGCTAACTTTAATCGAAAGATTTCTTATTCTCCAATGGTTTAGAGAAGAAACAGAACTATAAGGAATACGTAGGACCGCACTAGTTCTTAAAATATAATTTTAGTATATGTTTCCATAAATGTTTAAAACTTTATTCCGTAAAATTTATCCAGTCTAATGCAACCAATAGAACTATTTCATTAAAAGTATCTGACAAAGCAGAAATTCTGCATACCATACATATACACATAAATATATTTATATATGATAAAATTTGTGATTGTTGTCGACATAATGAGGATAGAAAATCAATGAATGAATAAATAAGATTATATATATATATATATATATTTTCTGTTTTTACTCTGCAACATGACAGTATATAACAGTGGTATAAAGTATTTTCATAAACAGCACAAAAATTTTCAACATTTCGTAATGATTACGTTGTATCGATGTGATGAAACTGCCATTCACTAACAGTTCACTTACTATCTAAATATATTAACATGATTCTACGTGCAACGAAACTAACGAAATATATATATTATTATTATTTTTTTTTTTTTTGTTTCTTTTTCTTTAGAATTTTTACTGATCAGGACACTAAATAATGGAAACCACAGGCATTTAGAAATATATACAAACATCAACAATAACATCAAAAGCACCCAATGCTTTTTAATATCATCCATCATCTTGTGAAAATAACGATGGTGTAAATCCTCGTTCGTGGAATATATATATTCCTTTTATATCCAAGGATTAAAAATACGATGCTCATTTCGTTGTCGTCTTTTTTTAACAGTAGATACGCTTTACTGCATATATACCGTATGCTTTTATTTCAGAAATATACGTATCTGTTAATACTAAGTCTGGAAAGAATGTCTACACGGATACTAAGGTGAGTGATTTATACCTTTGTTTTTTTTTTTTTAAGAAAAATTATTCTCTTGTTTCGTCTCTATGGTCCCAAAATAAGAACTACATTCTAATGTTGGGAGGTTTATTCTATTTGATTATTGATATAAGCAACTATTCTCGCACACGCACACACCACGTAGTGTAATTTTTAAAAAAAGTCAATAGCTGCACCGTCGTTGCCAACACCAATTATTTTGTTTTTTTTTTTTTAGCTAATAGAGAGGACACATATCGATCTCGTGGAAGAAATGATAAGGCTTCTACAAACACCTGAATAATTACACACAGATAGCTGTGGCCTAGTAGTGTAAATATGTAGAGATGGTGTCAGGTGTAAGGCTCTTGGTAAACTACTTTTTGTTTATATATCCGAAAAGAGGCACCGTCTTTTCCCTTCCATCTGGACTCGATCCTGCAGGCAGGCTTTTACTTTTTTCCGTTTTCGGACAAGTCGTTTGTTGATCGTGTGGCTAGGTTTTTTTTAACTCATTCGAATCTGGTCCCGTACTGGCCGTAATCCGGTATCTCCCTGTCTTACGCCCTGGATTCGCTCACTCCCGCCGTCTTCTCTTGGCGGCTGCTGCTTCCTGCTTCGTTGTTGCCTCGCGAGATTGCATTAGAGGGTTGAGAATTTCCCCTGTTCCGAACGCAGACGTAGACCGGTCTGTACAGTACTACAGTTTCTCCTTCCTCCATTCCCAACGTTCCATCGTATACCTGTCCCAAGAGGAATTCTGGTCCGATATACATTCCTCCCTCCACGTGTTCACAACACACTTCTGCTTACCGGAGCACGGAAAAGAAAGAAAGAAAAAACAGGTAAATGAATAAAAACACTAATTTCGTATTTTAAAGCTAAAATCATTATTTACATTTGCAAGTTAGTTGATACTTAGAGGATGCCTGGGTGAACAATTAAGGGTCTTTAAGCATCAAGCGTATAGGCAAATTTGCAGTTGATTTTTTACGTTAATAAAGGACCGCGCCCTAACCGTAAATTCGATCATACGTCATGCAATCTCGACGATAAAACGCATCCTAAATACGCGAAAATAAATTAGCATAATCTATAAACCGTACACCAATCGGCAGCTTCGGTAAATACGTTTGCGTTAACATAAATATCCCGCTAAGCTTCCTATTGGTCGATTTTAATTTGTGCTTACGTCGTCCAATCGGGTACTCGACTGGATATTTAAAACAGCAAACTGCCAATAACGTAAAGGTAGTTTTAAATTTAGTATCAACGCGGAAAGGCGATTGGTTAGTTATTTTTAAACTCATATTTTGGTTATAACGCTCTACCGAAGTTAAGACAATAAAAATCTTAATTTCAATAAAGCGTTATATAATAAGCAAATTAAAATGAAGAAAAGATCTGCGAACACGTGTTCGTTACCATTTGGGATGGACGTCATATTTAACGGGTCTTTTGACGTCATTAAGCGCGAAAATGACGTCTAGGTCTGCCGGTGACGTCATCAGACGGATTTTTCGAACGAAAATTTTCGATAACACTCGATGGCCGACAGATAAAACGGGAAAAATTCTCCATCCTCTCTTCCTTCGATAACATCGCTAATTAACTGCATTGTTAAAAGTGGAATGTTTTTATTTTCTGGCTTTGGTCGAATTATTCGATAGTTTGTAACGTTGCCGGTTCCTTAATTAACTCGTTAGTTAATCATAATTAAGCGGTTATTTACGCGTGCAAAGGCAATTAAGTAAAAAGATCTCGAGCCCGAAACCCTATCGATTTTACCACTTAAAACGCGCGGGAACAGACGTTCCCGTGCGTTTTAAGTGTTCCAGGTTTGTAATTTCGGTAAAATTTTTGGAGTCGAACGTGTCCCCCAAAAATCCAGAAATTAAATCTCGTAAATCGCGAGAGCTCTCCGATCTCCGATCGAGAACGGCTCTGAGAGCAAAAATAAACGACTGCAAATGATTGGTTAATAGGAAGATAAATAGTTCTGGAAGATAAGTCGATGCAGGAATCGAGAGGACCTTCCAGTAGTAACGGTAATTATAGAGAATAAATAGCTAGACAAATAATCGTTATCGAGCCAACTGGCATGTAGCGGCCGTTTAATTCCGCATCGTCCGAGTTTATTTGTTGTACCGAGGAAAAAAAAAACTAGAAAACGACCGCGGAGTTCTAGATCGGGAAAATGTTCTAGCATTTATACACGAGTACATAAAATATTCCGTAAAGATTAAGAGACGACTGCGAAATACTTTCATAATGCGTACTTACGGAATTTCAAAACGATAACTGTGTAGTTTTCGTTCTGGAGCATCGAACAAAACAAGAATAACGACTGCTCTAGAATTTCTTAAAGATTTTGTTTCAATTTTTATTTAGTAATTTGACTCGTTTACGATTGTTTAGGAAGTTTGTTTTTTTCTTTTTTGAAACTGACCTACATAGGGACCGTGTATGAAATTTAATTAGCCAATAGCTTTATAGTAGAATGATAAAGGAATTATCGGCAATTATATATGTATAATTGCCGATAATTCCTTATATATAACGATCCGGCGTGCGATTTTTGAACTCAAATTTTGAATGTTATCGTCTTTGAAAATATCGAAAAACATTAACGACTATTTCCCTTCATCGATTTCCTTTATCCTGTATTAATCACCTTCGAAAAAATGGTAATTACTCTTGCGTAGGCCTACGGGTCAAAGTTCATTCATTCGTAATCTCCGGTAAACCTGTTTTTTTTCTAATTAATCATATATATAATGTGATTTTTATCCCGTTGCGTGAACTTCCGAAAGGGATTATTTTTTAGAAAATCTTTCAAGATTTTTATTATTAAATATTAAAAAAATCGCGTAATTTTATTTTAGGGGTATTAGTCCGAGGAGTAAAAAGTAAACAGTCGAAATCCATTAATTCCAAGAGAGATTTCTAAAAATTACTTGGATTTTTTTTATTTGGAGGAAGAAAAATGTGATTAAAGTATTATATTTTATGCATATATTAATAATAATTACTCACCGTACTCTAACTTGGGTTGCTGGTTTGAATTGGGAATGCGGAAAGGACAAGTAGCTATCGTGATTGGGAAATTCATATGTAAATCGTCGCCGGATTTTTCCAGTTCCACCCAAACCTGAATCACCAGAAAAATATTAAAAAAATCAATTTTTTGTTTTCGTCTTTCGGATTTTATTCGCCACAATCGATAGGAGGGGGGGAAGATAATCGATAAAGAAAAGAAACTTCTACCTTTAGAAAATAGTAGATTTGGAGAAGGCGGCACACTCCCATTAGAGTGGGTGGCATGACGGGAACCACTAAACTGTTTGAACTATCAAATTTGGATCTGGTGTGAGGGTGTATGGCGTCACCTTTATATTCTAATACGGTTCTATTGACTTCTTTGTTGATGCCCAACACGCCTCGATCGATAAAAAACTCCACGTACTGAAAAATGGGTAGAATGTACAGCCGGAGTGTTTACTCTGGCCGGCAATTATTTTTAGCGCGCCGGAGATTTCATTGTTAAAATTTACCTGAACCAATTTGAGTCTGAGGAATATATTCTCTTCGCTCTGGTTGTCTATGTCCGCCTTCAGCCGGATGCTCTCTCCGCAGCAATAAGCCGAACGTTCTAAAGAACTTCTCACGCTGACTACACCCCTCTTGCAACATAGACAGCACACGGCCCTCTTGTCCTGCCCCGTTAAAGGTCTCTATCGGTCCAACAAAAGAAAACAAAATAAAGGTAAATTTACATTATAATAGCTGAAACAAAGATAAAAACCATCACAAAGGGCAACCTGCCCCCGACAATGACACTTCTCTGCATCGCTTACGGGACGGAGGGAGAAGTCGAAACGTGGAGGAGGAGGGAGAAAATTATCAATAATTTTAATGGGCGAACGAATAAATTGAAAATTTTCTGTTTTTAAATTCGATCGGGGAGGATTTATTTTCGATTTCTTTAAAGAATTATATTAAATCCGACGGCTTTATCGGAGTTAATCGATGTCGGTTCGATAGCCGCGCAATTATCTTTCAGTTTCCGGACGTTACATCTTTTAAAATGAGGAAAACAACGCGGATTTATATTGAGATGAGACGCAGGCGTATTTATGAGCGGGGAGAGATGACGGATTCGAGTCCGGATCAAAATTTACTGCGCGGCTCCGTGTTTGACGACGTTATAGCAATTTTACTTTCGAATAAACTTAGGAAGGAGAATAAATCTTTGCGGTAAATATCGGGATTGGACGACGTTCCTCCGTTAGAAATAAATAAATAAATAAATAAATTTCCCCCTCCCCATTTTACTAAGAGGACGCTAGCATTAATGGCAACACTTGGCTTCTCGATTGGCCAATGCTGTATTCTTAATTTTAACAATCGGAACGAACAATTTTTAAATAATTAACTAACTAAAAGGTACTTAAATAAATATAGAACTAAAAGATATAAACTTTTCATCCTATCAACAAAATAACTGAAAGTGAATTGACAGTTTTGCAATGATATATTGCACAAAAACATCATAAGTAAACACCATAATTCTTCTTCGAAAAGTTCAAGGGATTGTTTGATCCCTGAATTTCTTACTCTCATAGTATCAAATAAGATAAAAACCACATAAAACAGAAAAAAACATTTATAAAATAATGAACGAAAAAAGATAAAAATATATTTTAAACGGAAAAGCAATACTTATTAAACTTAAAAATAAAGAAATAAAAAAAATAATTCAAAACACTTAACGTACAATGAAGGATTTTGGTCATTTTGGCAGTGAGTCATCAGCTTTTGTCATATTTTTTGTTGTATTATTGCAACATTAAAGTATTAATTTTTCATATTCTACATTTTAAAAATATGAAACAGCTGTTGCTATTGGAAAATAAAAATTAAAATAATTTAATTTTAAATTTTTATGAAATTGTTTGTCGAATATATAATAATGACAGTAATGATCATATAACCATTCTACTATAATTAAATATGTTATCAATATTTTAGATCTATTAGCTTTTAGTAAAATCGTGATATAAAGTATTTATAATAATCGTATCAATATTCCATAGATAGAAACAAAAATCCTTTCTGTACTTAGAAATTTAAGATAAAAGATTTTGTTCCTAAGAGAACGGATTACATCGAATATAAGAGGAAGGGGGATTATATTTACTAACAGTCTACGTTTTAGAATTTATCCTAACCTATGGACCTATTTCTCATAATGTTCGTTATATTATTTACACTAAACTATAGTAAAAAGTATAAAATTTCGATAAAATGTGAAATTAATAGATTAAAAAGTAATTATTAATTTCGCCAAATTTCACGAAATACTATTAAATTTAATGCTGTTCTGATATTAAATTGTTAAATTACACTTTGGTTAAAATTGGTCTATAATCCCAATAAGTGAAGGTTCTACCTTGTATAATCCCCTAGTGTAAACCACTAGGATAAAAATAACTTGATAAGAACTTACTGTGCTATAATGCACTTATCCAGAGAAATATGGCCTACGACTAAAGTAAACAATAGAAGTGCTATAGAGATTTGACTAGTTTTGCCCTGGGCGCAGTCATCATTCCAATCTACAGGGTGAGAATTAGGTTTATTCGGTGATATTTCGATTGAGAGTATCCCTGAGAGAAAAGCAATGTCTGGCTACCAAGAGACTATCTCGATGTGGAACACACGGCTTCTTTCCCACACTATTCCTCACGCTATGCTGTTGTTCTTTCCTAACTAAACACCATCTTCCCCTTTCTACAAATATCATTGACCATGAGCAGCTGCTGCACAGAAACTACAAAAATAGGAAACTAATTTCGAAGTAGTTGAAGATTTTTTAAAGTGAATAGAAGCTTGGATATTAAATTTTATCAAGAGAAAGTTATAATTCTGAAAATAAACGTAAGTATCTTTAATAAAGAATCAATATGATTACAAATACAATATTTTTCTTGTTGTTATTTAACAGTTTGCAATTTCAACTGAAATAAAATTTTTTTTCTTATAATTGATTTGGTTTCCCATTAAAAACATTTTTAAGATAAGTTAGAATTTTTTTATCCAGTTTTTAAAACGTTATTTCTTAAATATTTTAATCCATTTTAATGTTTCCTGCACCAACTGATTATCATTTTTTAACACGAAATACTGAAATGAAACACATGTGCTGAGAAGTAATTTATAAACTATGATATATTAATAGCATAATGTAAAACACATTAATAAATTATATTTAAATAAAAAATTTAATTCTTTCATATATACAATTTCCTCAAATTTCATTATGTTGTAAATTACAAACTTTAATATCTATGACACAAATCCATATTTTAACTATAATTACGATTTATAATTACATAATCGTTAGAATATAAATTGTTAAAAACATTTAAATCATTAGATATTCGTCAAACTAATTTCAAATATATTAACTAGTATAAAACAGATCGATTTTATACTGTCAAATCAGAGTAACTTCAAATGTAAATCACGTTTAGACAAAATATAAACTCTGAACATTTCGAAAAGCTTACTAATGTCATAGTTAGGAATTTTGTCTGAGATGTTATGTTACTGAAAATCGATTTTATATAAGCAAAATTACTATTTAAAATTTAAATATTTCTGATTTACCCTCTTTGATTCTCATCCATCCTTATCTTACGTTTCTTGAAATATGTAAAAACTGAGTATATTTTATAAGTGAATCTTCTGTTCAAACTTAAAGTGCAAACGTAAGTTCTTCATGCCTAATCGATATCTACAATCTGACGTTTTTTCCCCCTACTATTAGATAGGATTTGAAGGTAAGCTCTATCTTTGGTGTACAAATTACGTTATTAGTATTACACGGAGATAGTATTAAACTTAAAATCCGTTTTATTAATTTATTAAACACGTTTATTGAAAAGAATTTCATGTTAAATTAATTTATTTTTAACTCTAAATTTATTATGTAAATGTAAATTATAATCTAATATAGCAATCTTCCTATATATTTAATGATATTTTGATTAAATACATTTACTATTCATGTATATAATATACATTTCATTGGCTGATCATTATTAAAGCTAGAATTACTAAAGTATAATGTTTAATATCAATAATTCTAGTTTCAACGAATCCACTATATATATAATATTTATCATAAATTTGTTACTACACTTCAATAGGATTTAAATTCAACTATTTCTGCTTTGGATTTTAAAAATAATTTTTTTTTCTTATTTTTATAAATAAACTCTTTCTTTCAAAGAAAGCTTTACATAAAGCTTTCTTTTAAAATTGAAGGACAAGCTTCTTTAGAATAAAAAGAAAAAGAAAATTAGCTTAAATCCTCGAAAATTGGTTTCTTGTTTGAGTAAAGACAAAACATCCGAGTTTCTACAATAAACCATAATACCTTATCATAAATAAAACACATTGTTATGTTAATAAATTATTTATTATGTATACTTCTATTAATTTTTGAATATTTATTGTTTAAATTGTTTATTAGACAGTAAAAATAATTATGTCGAATTAATTCCAATTATTCTTTTTAAATCAAACTTAATTAACTAAATATTTATTTAAATAATTTAATGAATTTTAATTTTTATATTTAAAATTAATTGGAATTTATTGACTCTTTAATTTTTTTTCAATTCCTTATATAAAATGAATTGCTTTCGTTTCATTTTCGTTAAGAAACAGGAATAATATCATTCTAAATTATTTTAAAATTATATTTTGTTATTAATTAATGAACAAATTTAATAAAATACAATAAAATAAATTCATAAATAAATATTTTAGAATTGTATAATAAACTACAACCTTGTAATTATGAAGAGTTTAAACATATTAGAACGTAAGAAAAAATTTTATATATAATTTATAAAATAATGACTTATAAATTCAATTAAATTTATATGTCAAATTGAAAAAATTTATTGAATTTCTCTGAGATAAAATAATTATATTAATGCAAATGTACGAGTCATGCATTCCATGATGAGAAATATTGAAAAGATGTAAAGAGAAGTTTTTTCATTTTTTAATTAAGCAACTCAGTCAGGTAAAGATCTTAATGATGAAAGTAAGTAATAATAAAGAGCAGCAAAAAATTGAAAAAAGCAAATATAAAACAAGATTTTAATAGTTGTTTAATATTAAAGAATCANAAAAGTTCAAGGGATTGTTTGATCCCTGAATTTCTTACTCTCATAGTATCAAATAAGATAAAAACCACATAAAACAGAAAAAAACATTTATAAAATAATGAACGAAAAAAGATAAAAATATATTTTAAACGGAAAAGCAATACTTATTAAACTTAAAAATAAAGAAATAAAAAAAATAATTCAAAACACTTAACGTACAATGAAGGATTTTGGTCATTTTGGCAGTGAGTCATCAGCTTTTGTCATATTTTTTGTTGTATTATTGCAACATTAAAGTATTAATTTTTCATATTCTACATTTTAAAAATATGAAACAGCTGTTGCTATTGGAAAATAAAAATTAAAATAATTTATTTCTTTTTCGTTTTAAATAAAAATCAAATATGTTTATGAAAGAAGAATATAAAATTTGCAATAAAACTTACATAAACAATAACAATAATGCTTTCTACAGACAATAAATTTCTCTAATTTAAATGTAATTTTAAAAAATAGCAAATCTATTAAATATATTATTTGAAATACGCAAATTTACTTATTTGACGTGTATTAAAGAGTATTTTTCTATTAAATGGTCAGTTAAAAAAATGTTTTAAACCGCACAAAAACCATATTTGATACTATTTATATTAAAAAATACAAAGTTAAAGAATTGTAAACATTATAATCCTAATAATAAATAATAATAATAAAGCAAAAATTTTTTATATAAAAAACTGTCCAAGCTTCTATTCTATAATTCATAATACATTTTTTTTTATAGAATAATACATTTATAGAATAATACATTTTTTTCCGGATCTGAAAATAATTATTTTACTCTTCTTTAAAAAAATATTTTTTGATTAAATTTCTTATATAACATCTCAAGTTTAAATTTATGGTTTGACATATTTTAAAATAATTAAAGATAATTGTATAGTATTATAAAGGGTTAATGATATAAAATTTGTTTATGTAAAACATAAAACGTCCTTCTAGTAGTAATTATTATATAATGAGTATTTAGAATTCTTATTTCTTTAATTTTAAATTTTTATGAAATTGTTTGTCGAATATATAATAATGACAGTAATGATCATATAACCATTCTACTATAATTAAATATGTTATCAATATTTTAGATCTATTAGCTTTTAGTAAAATCGTGATATAAAGTATTTATAATAATCGTATCAATATTCCATAGATAGAAACAAAAATCCTTTCTGTACTTAGAAATTTAAGATAAAAGATTTTGTTCCTAAGAGAACGGATTACATCGAATATAAGAGGAAGGGGGATTATATTTACTAACAGTCTACGTTTTAGAATTTATCCTAACCTATGGACCTATTTCTCATAATGTTCGTTATATTATTTACACTAAACTATAGTAAAAAGTATAAAATTTCGATAAAATGTGAAATTAATAGA